TGAAAAGTGTGGGGGAACGGGGGACCTGTCCTCTGTGTCGCTGCGGAAGTGCTTGTAATGCTTTCCGGTTCAAGCCAGCAGTCGGGAGTGCAATCTGGAGGTCTCTGGTAGCGAACCACCACCTGCTCCCTCCCAGGAGGCATGGTAGCAAGCAAAGCATTGCGACAGGAGTCCGGATGGGAACTCAGGGATTGGGTCATATGAGCTGAATCCAAAGAGGAAGCTTAGCTGCTGGGCCAGATGCCTGTCATTTAGGAATCTTAGCACTGAATCTGGAGTGCTTGTGTGATAGCAACTTGAAAGACTGGAGTTGTTTCCTGAACAAATCTGGCTTAAAACACTTCTAAGAGGGTCCGGTGCGATAGCGGGGTGATTAAGGTGCTCACCTTAAATGTGCCAGGATCCCATGTGGGTGCCGGCTCTGGTCCCAGTGGCCACACTTCCCATCTGGCTCCCTGCTTGTGGTCTGGGAAGGCAGTGGAGGAAGGTCTAAGGCCTTGGACACCCACGTGGGAGACCCAGAGGAGCTCCTGGCTACTGGCTTTGGGTTGGCTCAGCTCCAGCCGTTGCAGCCACTTGGGGAGTGAATCAGCAGATGAAAGATCTTCCTTTGTGTCTCTCTTCTTCTGTATATTCGCCTTTCCAATAAAAATAAACAAATCTTTTTTTTTCTTTTAAAGATTTATTTGTTTATTGGAAAGTCAGATATACAGAGAGGAGAAGAGGAGGAGAGACAGAGAGGAAGATCTTCCATCCAATGATTCACTCCCCAAGTGAGCGTAACGGCCGACGCTATGCCAATCCGAAGCCAGGAGTCAGGAGCCTCTTCCGGGTCTCCCACACGGGTGCAGGGTCCCAAGGCTTTGGGCCGTCCTCGACTGCTTTCCCGGGCCACAAGCAGGGAGCTGGATGGGAAGTGGGGCTGCCGGGATTAGAACCGGCGCCCATATGGGATCCCAGCGCGTTGAAGGTGAGGACTTTAGCCGCTAGGCCACGCCGCCGGGCCCAAAATAAATAAATCTTAAAAAAAAATTTCCAGGAAAATTGGGGAAACCTGTCACAACATTTGCAAAGTACTCTTGGTTCCTGGTGAAAGGGGAAGTGTCCAGAAATTAGGCTGTTTTTAGAAATTGGCCAAGTCTGTGGTTTGAAATTTATATGCCAATGATTTTGACAAAGGGTAAAAAATCCTATTTCTCGTTTCTGTTTCCGACGCTGGGGGGGGAGACAGGCAGCACAGATCAGATCTCTTGGTTCTTTCTCAGACACGCATTTTCTCCAGAACCTTAGTCTAAGTACTACATGATGTGTAACAGTTTCAGGTTAATTTCATTTGTGTGTTATGTCCATATGGAGATTGCACTATTGAAGCAGTTATATATAATGATTTTTCTGCCATTTCTTTTCTTGATCTGAATAGGATTCACATTTATTAACGCAGTGAGTGACACTCAGTTATAGTGAAGGCATCCTTTGTTTTTTCTCAGACTTAGTTTCCTTGCGTGTCATCTGACAAGTGGACATTTTTAAGAAACACCTTTTTCCAGTTTCTTCTCACATCAATTTTGTTATTACCCGTAAGTGACTTGCTCCCTGGTCCTGATGCGCAGGTACTACTAGCTCTCTCAGTCATTGTGGATGGCGTTTGATCTGATTGTCCTTACCAACTCAGTATTGGAATTGCAAGGATCTTAAAAACTTCCTGGCTGTGTCCATCGTGATAGCCTAGTAGCAAAATCCTTGCCTTGCATCTGCTGGGATCCCATGTGATATCCCATCCAGGTCCCTGCTTGTGGCCTGAAAAAGCAGTAGAGGACGGCCCAAGACCTTAGGACCCGGCACCCACGCAAGAGACCTAGAAAAAGCTCCTGGCTCCTGGCTTCGGATTGACTCAGTTCCGGCCTTTGTGGAGGGTTGGGGAGTGCACCAGTGCATGGAAAATCTTCCTCTCTGAATCTCCTCCTCTTCGTATATCTGCCTTTCCAATCAGAATAAACAAATCTTAGAAAGTAAATAAGAAAGACAACAATAATTTAAAAAAAAAAACCTTCCAGGTCACTACTAAAAACCTCTATTTTTATGCTTTTATCTACAGATTATTTTTTTTAATTTATTTATTTTTATTACAAAGTCAAATATATAGAGAGGAGGAGAGATAGAGGAAGATCTTCCGTACGATGATTCACTCCCCAAGTGAGCGCAACGGCCGGTACCGTGCCGATCCGAAGCCAGGAGCCAGGAACCTCCTCCAGGTCTCCCACGCGGGTGCAGGGTCCCAAAGCTCTGGGCCGTCCTCGACTGCTTTTCTAGGCCACAGGCAGGGAGCTGGAAGGGAAGTGGAGCAGCCATTAGGACTATGGGATCCTGTTGCATGTGAGGTGAGGACTTAAGAAAGCCACTAGGCTACTATGCTGGGCCCACTACAGTAATTGTTTTTTTTTTTTAAGTTTTATTTATTTGTTTTAATTGTTATTAACACTGTATTATGTGATACAGTTTTATAGGCACTGGGATTCCTTCCACCCCTCCCACAACCCTCCCCCCATGGTGGATTCCTCCCACCTTGCTACATAACCACAGTTCAAATTCAGTTGAGATTCCTTCATTGCAAGCATATACCTAGCATAAAGTCCAGCATCTTATTGTCCAGATAAGTTCAGTGGCCTCTTGGGGAGACTTTCTCTGATCTGAAGGTAGAGCTAACAGAGTAAAGTTCCGGTCAGTTAAAATCCCCAACAAAATATCAGCATCAATATACAATGTTATGGAATTAATTGACATAGTATTGAGTAAACAATATGTTAAAAATAATGCAAGTTCAATTCTTCAAAACACCTGGGTTGAGACAGTATCAATGACAGGCTCAAAAAGTAACAAACAACCAAACAAAAATTACAGGTTAAATCAAGGCAAACATGTGGTATCTAACCTTTTGGGATTCGCTCATTTCCCTTAGCATTATAGTTTCCAGTTGGGCCCATTTAGCCACAAAGAACTGCATTTTGTTTTTTTTAGTAGCTGAGTAGTATTCCATGGAGTAGATGAACCAAAGCTTTCTTATCCAATCTTCTGCTGATGGGCATTTCGGTTGCTTCCATGTTTTTGCAATTACTGATTGTGCTGCTGTGAACATAGGGATGCATGTTGGTTAGTAATTGTTGAAATAGTTATTTGAACTCTATATATTTTTAGAAAAATAGCAGCAAAACTTTTGACATTTATTATTTCACTGAAGATTACTGTTCTTATTTTGTAGGTGAGGAAATGAGACCCAGCAGGCTGACCTTCAGTTGGCAGCCAGTCAATTTTGAGTGAATTAGTAGACTTTTTCCTGATACTGTATATTTATAAACATGCTGATCAACGGCATTTCTGTATGTGCTTGTAATGCATTTGTGCATTTCAAAGGGTTGAAGTTCTTATTTTTTTAAGATTTATTTTTATTGGGCAGTCAGATACACAGAGAGGAGAGGCAAAGAGGAAGATCTCCCATCTACTGATTCACTCCCCAAGTTTCCGCAATGGTTGGAGCTGCGTTGATCTGAAGCCAGGAGCCAGGAGCTTCTTCCAGGTCTCCCATGTGGGTGTAGGGTCCCAAGGTTTTGGGCTGTCCTCGACTGCTTTCCCAGGCCACAGGCAGGGAGCTGGATGGGAAGTGGAGCTGCCGGGATTAGAACCAGTGTCCATATGGGTTCCCGGCATGTGCAGGGTGAGGACATTAGCCACTAGGCTGCTGGGCAGGGCCCAGTTTTTTTTTTTTTAATATTTATTTTTTGTTTTTATTGGAAAGTAAGATATACAGAGAAGGGGAGAGATAGAGGAAGATCTTCTGTCCACTGACTCATTCCTCAAATAGTCATGATGGCCGGACCTGCGCCAGTCCGAAGCCAGGAGCCCCAATCCTCTTCCAGGTCTCCCACACAGGTGCAAGATCCCAAGGCTTTTGGGCTGTCCTTCACTGCTTTCCCAGGCCAGAAGCAGGGAGCTGGATGGGAAGTGGGGCCACTGGGATTAAAACTGGCACCCATATGGGATCCTGGTATGTGCAAGGTGAGGACTTTAGCCACTAGACTATTGCACCAGGCCCAAGGCTGATGTTCTAATGAACTCTTTAAAAAAAAAAAAACTTAAAAGATTTATTTATGTATTTATTTTTAAAGATTTATTTTTATTGGAAAGTCAGATATACAGACAGGAGGAGAGACAGAAAGGAAGATCTTCCATCTGATGGTTCACACCCCAAGGGGCTGAAATGGCTGCAGCTGCGCAGATCTGAAGCGACAACCCTGGAGCCGCTTCTGGGTCTCCCACATGGGTGCAGGGTCCCAAGGCTTTGGGCCATCTTCAACTGCTTTCCCAGGTCAGAAGCAGGGAGCTGGATGGGAAGCGGGGCCGCCAGGATTAGAGCCGGTGCCCATAAGGGATAAAGGTGAGAACTTTAGCCATCTGACTATCATGCTGGCCTCTTTATTTGTATTGGAAAGGCAGAAAGAAAGACAGAAGAAAATCTTCAATTCTCAGGTTTTTTTTCTGCCTGCCAACAGGTCCCAAGGTCTCTGAGTGGGAGGCAAGGTGCTCTTTGGGCATAAGAAGCACCGGGACAAGCTGGTGAGGAATGTCTGCTTTAGTGTGTACAGGTTATAGCTTATAAAGATTCAGGAAGTGGTGGGCAGGAGGACATCTTCCGGCAACCCACCCCCCCAATCCTCCTCTCCTCCCTGCCTACCAAATACACTGTCATTGGCTATATGACATGTCTGTTTCCCTCGATCTTCCGGTCGTGTGAGAAGTCATGTTCTATGTGTGTTCCTTTTGACCTTCTAGCTGTGTGAGAAGTCACACTCCACATGTAGGCCTGGGACCTGTACCTGTAAGCTTTAGGCCATACCCACCAGGTAGCAGGGCATTTCCCACATTCAGTTTGCTGGCTCATTCCCCAAGTGGCCGCAGTGAGCTGGAGCTGATCCAAAGTCAGGAGCCAGGAACTTTTTTGGGTCTCCCATATGGGTGCAGGGTCCCAAGGCTTTGGGCCGTCCTCTACTGCTTTTCCACATCACAGGCAGAAAGCTAGATGAGAAATGCACCAGTCAAGATATGAACCAGCGTCCATATGGGATCCTGGCATTCACAAAGTGAGGATTTAGCCACTGAGCCATTGTGCCAGGCATGGAGCTCCTCTTTTTAAAGTGGGATATGTAGGTAAGTTAGGGCTTTGGTGTTTGAGAAAAGAATCAAAAGATAGAGAAGGCAGTTAACTTAGGTGATTAACCGTAAGAGGAATTAATTTGGAGCTTGTATGAGTTGCCTAAGCATCGCCTCTGATGACTGGACTTGAGGGGGACCTGAGGATTGTTTCTACTTTAGCGGCCTTTTGGAGACAGTTGAGGTGAACACCTGGGCTTTGCGTCTTGGGTGTAGTTGACCAAAATTAAAAGTTGTAATCAAGGAATTTTCCTATAGGTTTTATCTAAACTATATTGGAAATCAGGAAAAAACTCTTGAGAGTTAAGTATTTTCAACCTGAAATTTCCATCATGACTGAGATGTAGCTAGAAAGAACTGTGTAGTGTTGTAGTATTATACAGCTCTAGAGGAAAAGTGATTTTTGTTTTGTTGTAATTGACTGGATTGAATAAAGAACTGAAAGTCTAGAAGTTTGCTTCTAGAAAATAAAGCTTACTGTAATTGTATGTTCCAGCGTGTCTACTGGTTTTTTTGTGTTACTCATTTATTCATGAGTTACTCATTGAATACCTACTCTCCTACTGTTTAGGAAAAAGGTAGCAGAAAAAAATGAGAAATGGTGTAATGGGTTGAAAAACCATTCTGTTGGGCCTGGCACAATAGCCTAATGGCTAAAGTTTTTGTCTTGCCTGCGCCGGCATCCCATATGGGTGCCGGTTCTAATCCCAATGGCCCCACTTTCCATCCAGCTCCTTTCTTGTGGCCTGGGAAAGCAGTTGAGGATGGCCCAAAGTCTTAGGTTCCTGCACCTGCTTGGGAGACCTGGATGAAGCTCCTGGCTTTGGATTGGCACAGCTCCAGCCATTGCGGCTGCTTGGAGAGTGAATCAACGGACAGAGGATCTTCCTTTCTGTCTCATCCAAAGTCTGTCTGACTTTGCAATAAAAATAAAATAATTTTTAAAAAAAGAATCATATTTAGGAAGCCCATGTGAGGAATGAATCCTGAGGGACATTCAACGACAAAGCTACTGTACTTGCAAGCAAGTAAGACCTGGTGGTTTAGAGGGAAGAGACCTGAAGATCTTTATGGGTCAGACTGATGCACCAGCCTATGTGGGAGCCCTGGGTTGGGCTTGTTAGCATAGAACATGGCTGACTACCACACGCCAGTGCACATGCAAGCTGTGGCTTGGGGCATGTCTAGCATGGCTAGATCCCAGTACAGTACCTGACAGTGAGTGTTGGATCAGGGAATGGGTCACGTCAGACTGGGACATGACACCAACTAGCAAGCAAGAGAACCAGGTCTGGGGGTAGATTCTGTGGGGGATGAGTAGGCCCAACCCTATGGAACTACAATTCCCACTAGTTAGCTTGAGAGTTGGGATGGTGATGGGCTGAGCTAGGTGTGATCATGTAACTTGCCAGCTCTCAACAGTGTTGGGGCTGGGAGCAAGTGGAGCAGGTCCAGGCTGCAGCACTTGCATGAGCACCCTAAAACAGGGTGTGGGGTGGGCCAGGCCACACCAGTTCATACAAAGGCTGGACGGATAGGGCAGACATGATGGGTAAGGTCCAAGCACCCGCTGACATGGCATGAGATCTGGGTCTGGGAGTGACCTCCTGAATAGGGGAACCTGGGAAACTCCCCTAGTGGGTCATAACTTCCACTGATGAGCATGCGGTTCAGACCTGGGTATTGGGTAAGCTGGTTAGAGTAGTTCCATCCATAGACAAGTGTGTGAATTAGTTTTGGAAGGGGGCAGATCGGGTGGGGCGAAGCAGTCCATATCCCACTGGCAACTGCAGAAACCAGGATGGAGTGCAGGTCATGCTGGGCTAGGCTATCATACTCACTGGTTTGCATGAGTCAGGGATGAGAGCAGACTGAGCAGGACTAGGTTGTAGCACCGGCCAGCGAGAGCTGGGACTAGGGGCTGACTGGACTAGGCCAGGCCAGACTGCAGCTTCTAAAGGCAAGGGCCGAGACAGGGGAGGAGGTGTGTCGAACTGAGAGCAACCACTGGCACGCGTGTGATCTGTGCTGGGATCAGGCCTGGTTGGGATGCTAAGGGGGTGTCCTGGCTGGTTGTGGGTTCACTGGTGAGCACAGGGGCCAGAGTGGGGGCTGCATTCTGGTCTGAAGTCACTATACTTTGGAAGTCACTATTTTGTGATGTGGTTTTTTTTTTTTTTTTTTTTTTTTTTCTGTGATGAGCAAGGGGGAAATATATATGGAGCAAAGTATAGAACGAATGAAAATGATTAGCTCTCTGGTTTTGAAGATCTACACAATTTAAAGAACTTATATATACCTGCTGCTGTTTCTGTAAATTAAACTGCTTTCATAGTAACTTAGTGGGTAGTGGTTATTTACTTTCCCCTACCCCATCAAGGGTGAATATCACCGAATTTCAAGTAGTTTGTCTTGTACACATTCCTGCCTAACTCTGATCACCGTCTCCAGCATCGGCTCTGTGTGTGTGTGTGTGTGTGTGTGTGTGTGTGTACACATTAGCAAAGCCGTGCTGTGTTCCTCCTTGCCTCAGACACTAAGTCTACGCAGCGGACATCACCCGCACAGGGATGTCAGAGCTGGGGAGGACCACAAAGCTGAGGCCTGAGTGAGGGATGCATTCTGAGAGGTCTTCCTGTTACAGGGCCAGGTGGCAGTGAGCTTTGAAGACGGCTTTGCAGTCAGTGGAGCGCAGGCTGCCCTGTTTTGGACGGAGGGGCAGACTGAGGAAAGCCCAGAGCTGGACATTGAACAGCTGTTGTCTGGGCTTGGGCCCGGAAGGAGAATATGAATTTGAACTGGAGTTTCTGGCTTAATTTTTCTGTTAGTTGCTGTTATAACTCTAGGTGATAATTTATTGCTTGATTTTCAGCTTTAAGAAGAAAAGAGTGGGCCCGGCGCGGTGGCGCAAGTGGTTAAAGGTCCTCGCCTTGCACGCCCGGGATCCCATATGGGCGCCGGTTCTAATCCCGGCAGCCCCGCTTCCCTTCCAGCTCCCTGCCTGTGGCCCGGAAAAGCAGTCGAGGACGGCCCAAAGCTTTGGGAACCTGCACCCACGTGGGAGACCCGGAAGAGGCTCCTGGCTTCGGATCGGCATAGTATCGGCCCGTTGCGCTCACTTGGGGAAGATCTTCCTCTCTGTCTCTCCTCTCTGTATATCCGCCTTTCCAATGAAAAAATAATAAAAATAAATATTTAAAAAAAAAAGAAGAAAAGAGTGATTTTTGGATTTACAAAATGTGTTTACTTACTTACATCATATCTCCTTGTTTTCTCCCCTGTAATATTTGTGTTAATGTTCTTTATAACATTCCTCTCTATTGCTTATATCTGAAACTATAAAAATAATATCTATTCTGTCATATGTTCCCCCAAGAGATTTATGAAGTTACCTTTCGGCATTAAGTAAGCTCATAGTTTTGGGACAGAGGGAAGGGACAATTGAAAATGGCACATGTACACCCTGGGATAACAAGTTCATACTGTTTTTGAAAGGAGAAATAACTGCTGTTTCTTTTTTAGGTTGAGCAAGTAAAATTACTTGACCGGTTCAGTACCAACAACAAGTCGTTGACAGGAACGCTCTATCTCACGGCCACACATCTGTTGTTTATAGACTCTCACCAAAAAGAGACTTGGGTAAGGACTGTTCCCGGACCGCTTATATGCTAGCGGTGGGCATGACCGTTCACTGTGCGTTACAGGGAATGCGTGTGACAGAGTTCGGAATCACTGGCTGCTCCTCTCAGCCAAGCGTGTTCAGTTAGCAGATCACGCCTGACCTCCCTTTTTCTTTTCTTCTTTATGTTTGTCCTGTTTGAAAAGCACAGAGATGCAGAGAGAGAAAAGTTGTCTTCCACCGACTGGTTAGTCCTTAAATTTCTGCAGCAGCTGGAGCTGTACTGGGCCAAGCTGGAGCCGGAGCTCTGTGCGTCTCCCATGTGGGTGGTGGGGACGCGGGTGCTTGAGCCGTTACATGCGTTAGCAGGAAGCTGGTTCAGAACCAAGAATCGCAAGAGGCATCGTAATAACTGCTAAATATCCTCCCTCCCCTTGGCCCACCTTCTAATAAATCATTGATGCCATTTTTCATCTGGTATCCTTTTATAAAATACCAGATTCTCTCCCCCCCCACCCCCACCAAAGATTTATTACAGAGAGAGAGAGAGAGAGAGTTCTTCCATCTTCTGGTTTACTCCCTAAATGGCTGCTATGGCCCGAGTTGGGTTGGGCTGAAGCTGGGAGCCAGGATCTTCTTTAGGGTCTCCCATGTGGGTGCAGGGACTCAAAGACTTGGGCCATCCTCTGATGTTTTCCTAAGCCATTGGCAGGGAGCTGGATCAGATGTGGCGCCTTGGGACATGAACCAGTACTCATGGCAGATGATAGCACAGCAGGCAGACACTTAAGCTGATATGCCACCATGCCAGGCCTAGCATTATAAAATACTTACTTTTTTAATTTTGGAAAATTAATAATCATACACATATTAGAGCACATGGATTTGGGATATTCTGTCATATTTTTATAACAAATTAGAAGTAGGACATTTTTTCTGTAGTATAAATGTTACAGAATAACTGCTTAAATACAAATGTGTATGTATATAGACCTGTGTGTGTATACATCTTAGATATCCATGTGCATTCGAAGTATACTTTGATATACGTGCAAGTGTACTTGAAAATGTAAACATGCGTGTATTCAAATCTAATGTTTGTATAGAATTTCTCTGAAATATTTGCTAAAATATAGCTAAAATTACTGGGTCTTGGGTGAGCACATTGAGTCTTTCTAAGTATGCTCTCTAATATTTCAATATTTATTTCCCAAAAATGATTTTCCAGTTCATTCTTTCCACCAAAGTGTTACACACTGTTCAGAATCCCCAGCAGCATGACAGTCCTTCCCTTTCTCTGAGGAGAGCGCTTACCGAACCTGCAGCGATTGTCTGAAGCTGCGAGCAGTCCTCAGCTGTACCTCTGCTGTGCTTTTCCTGTTCTTCTTAGTGTAGATCTTAGCAAGCATATACTGTGTATATATGTATATTTCTGGTCCTTATTGAGATCTTTCCTGTTTACTTGAAGAAGGGGATTCTTGGCTTCTTTTTGGTATGTCTGATTTACCAACGTCAGTCCTCTTGCGTTTGGGGCCATCATTCTATGGAACAAGAGTTGCTTGAACACTTACACTGCAATACCACGAGAGCCGTTCTGATAATGGAGACAGCCTCTAAGTGACACATGGGCGATGCCTAAGATTGGGATGAGTCATGTCTCTGGCAGGAGGAAAAAGGACAGCGTAAACTTTTACTAGGCTGTTTAAAACAATGTACAACTTAACACTATGTCTTAAAGTTTTTTAAGTTTACTTGTTGGGGCTGGAGCAGTGGTGTAACTGACTAAACCTTCGCCTGCTAACTCTGGCATGTCATCCCCCAGTGTGGTGCTGTCCCGGCTGTTCCACTTCTGATCCACCTTTCTATGTGTGGCCTGGGAAAGAAGCAGAGGATGGTCCAAGTCTTTGGGACCTTATTTCCACTTGGAACAGGGGGAAGAAGTTCGTGGCTCCCAGCATTGGATCAGCTCAGGTCTGGCTGTTGCAGCTGTTTGGGGGAGTGAGCCAGTGGATGGAAGAACTCTATTCCTCCTCTCTCTGTAAAACCTGTCTTTAAAGGAAAAACAAATAAATCTTCAAGAAAAAGAAAAGACCTTGCATGTTGTATATTACTGAAATTTTCTATTTATTTGAAGGCTGTGGTTGACCTTGGGTAGCTGGGACTTCAGATAAAGGAGAATGTTGTGTTATCCGCGTAGGGTTCTTGCCTTTCTAGTGGATGTGCAGTTGTGATGTTTTTAGCTCTTCCTGTTTCTTTTGTCTTCGTTTTAATACCTGGTGAGATAACGTGTGTGACAGGTAGCTTTGCCCAGTGTGTTGCTTGTCTTTAGGTGTTTCTGTGTGTGCATTTTTGATGTTTGAGTGGTCCTCTCCCATACCCCCGTGCCTTTTTTTCCCCCAGATTTATTTATTTTACTTGAAAGTCAGAGTTTCAGAGATAAAACAAAAGAGGAAGGGAGGGAGACAGAATTTTCCATGCACTGGCTCACTTCCAAATGGCTGCAGTGGTCAGAGCGGGGCTGGTCCAAAACAGGGAGAGGAACTTCTTCCAGATCTCACACATGGGTGCTGGAGCCCAAGTTCTCGGGAGGTCCCGTACTGCTTTCCTAGGCCAAAGCAGGCAGCTGGGTCAGAAGTAGAGCACCCAGGACTCAAACTTATTAGTAATGTGAGGTATTTTGGTGTATGGTGTGGCATTAGGTTTCAGTTTTGTTTTTTTCATATGATGGCCAGTACAATTTATTGACCATTTTGTGCCATTGATCTTTATATTAGCTCTACCATAAATAAAGCTTCCATGTACATGAAGGTCTCGTCCTCTGTTCTACCCTTTTTGGTACATTGGCATACCAGTATTGTGTTCCTTATTGACTAGCGTTCTTTGTCACACAGGCAGCGCAGAATAGTGCAGGGATCCTCAGCCGCGTTCTGGGTAGCTCTGGGTTCAGGTGCTTCCTCTGTTGCCTCCTGTTAGGTGACTGCCATAAATAGATGAATGCTTGGCTGAGACTGGCGCTGAGCCTGTCAAAACAGGAGGGCTGGGTCTGCTCTCCACACTGCCATCTGTCCCTTTAGAGAAGAGGTGTAATGCTGATTGCCTGGAATCTGGCCTTACTCCTTAAGTAGTGCTCTCAGGCAAGCTGCAGAAGTAGACATTCACTGTAGAACTCCTCATTGCTCTTGTAGTAAATTCTAGGAAGTAAAGTGCAGGTGAATATGTAGTTAAGAACGTGGAGAGAACTTCCTTGGGGAAGGCTTGCGAGGGATGCGAGTCTTCTTGATGATACAAGGACTGGAAACAGGATTTGGGATTCCTAGGAGAAGTAGAGTGACAGTATCTTAGTTCGTGGGAGTAATTTAGCTGTGTGTACCTGCTAAGGAGCTTGAAACATCTGAGCAGCCCAAGAGGGTGTTACTGGAACATCCTGAGCGGCTTGGTGAGGGATTTGAATGAGGCTGGAGAAGTGGGAAGTGACTAGATTGGCTCTTTTCTAAGATTGCTTTTTAAATGTTCATTTGACTGTCTTAAACAAAATGGGTTAGAAAATTCAGAGGCGGTATTTAGAGATAATTTAGGGAGTTACTAAAGTAGCTCCAGTGAAAAGCATGGGGGCATTGCAGCTGTGGAAGTGGCCATTGGGATGGAGAATAGGCACCTTAAACTGAGATTTTGAGAGCTGTAATATTTAGGGTTTGATGATGTATTGAATATGTGAGGTGAGGGAGGAAGGTTCTAAATCACCCTCATTCTGCTTCAGGCACTCAATCTTTTTTTTTTTTTTTTTTTTTTTTTAGATTTATTTATTTTCATTGGCAAGGCAGATTCACAGAGAAGAGAGACAGAAAGATCTTATATCCGCTGGTCCTCTCCCCAAGCGGCCACAATGGCCAGAGCTGGGCCAATGCAAACCCAGGAGCCTCCACCAGGTTCCCCACGTGGATGCAGGTCCTATGGCCTTGGGCCATTCCCCACTGCCCTCCCAGGCCACAAGCAGGGATCTAGATGGGAGATGGAGCAACCAGGACACGAACCGGCTCCCACGTGGAACCTCGGGCATGCAAGGCGAGGATTTAGCCACTATGCTTTTTGCAAGGCCAAACACACAATCCTTTAAAACTGTTCAGTTTGAGCGTGTGGTATTTGACATTTGATGCTCTGAGGACACATTCTTAACATGTGTGCGTTGTGGATGACAACATGTATGTAGTGCTCTCTAGATTGATGACTTAAATGTTTTTCACCATAGATATTGCACCACCACATTGCCTCAGTAGAGAAACTTGCCTTGACTACTTCTGGATGCCCACTTGTCATTCAGTGCAAGAACTTCAGGATTGTGCATTTCATTGTTCCCAGAGAACGAGATTGCCATGATATTTACAACTCCTTACTGCAGCTGTCAAAACTAGGTATTATGCTTGGAAATGTACTTGTTTAGTTTTGAGATTGGTTATCCAAAGTTCTTTATAGAATGTCTGTGTATTGCAGTCAGTCCTTGTGCACTGTGTCTCCAAACATTGTCCTAGGAATCATTAGAATGTATGAATTTTAAGCATGGTGTCCAAAGAAGGGTAGTGATAAGCAAAAAGTGAATATTCATAATCAGACCTCAGAAACCATAGATTTAGACTATACTGTTGGAGCAACATGGGAACATGGGGAAAATCTGTCGGCGGGGGCGGGGGGGGTTTGGGGCGGGGAATCCCAGTCTATACAAAATTGTACCACAAAATTCAGAAATTCAAAATAGAAATATAACAGCAATGACAAAAAAAGAAACTATAGCTTTATACCAATGCTTTAAATTATTTTGGTAGCAAGTAGCACAACATTTTTAAAAAGTGGATTTCCACAATCACAGAGAATGACTTGGAAATTGATGCTACTATGTGAAAAATTAAGGAAGGTGAAGGTCCTCTGTTGAGTGTGACTGAAATGATTGACAGGTTATGGTCAGAAATGTGGAAGTCGAGCAGAGGGACCAGAGAAAGTGAACCCTGTTTTACCCAGAGGTGAGAGGACACAGCCTCCAGAGAGCACCCTCACTGCCGTGTCCTCAGGGTCTGGAGGTGTGCTTGCAGTAGGGTGTGCATTTCAGCCGCACAGCCTGGTTGCAGGCTGGGCTGAATGAGCGATGGGGAAGCAGATCTGTGACCACTCTTCTCTCAGCACACCAAACCTGTGATGTCCCTGTGTCCCGTGTTAAGCAGGAGCCTGCAGGAAACGTGGTCCTGTGACTCCAGGTCTGCGCAGTCCGGAGTTCAGTGCGCCCACGGCCAGTTTGGGCCAGTTCTCTTCTGGAGTGGCCAGCATTATTTTGTCCTAGATGTCTTCTGTAGTCTTTCATTGCAACGTTTAGTCTTTCCATTTTAGATCTCATTTGGGAAAAGTAGTAAGTTTAAATAACTATTTGTGTTTGTTTCATTTTACTTATTTTTTAAGATTTATTTTTATTGGAAAGTTGGACATATAGAGAGAAGGAGAGACAGAAAGGAAGAGCTTCCATCCAGTGGTTCACTCCCCAAATTGCCAGTCTGAAGCCAGGGGCCAGGAGCCTCTTCCTAGTCTCCTACCGGGTGCAGGGTCCCAAGGCTTTGGCCCATCCTCGACTGCTTTCCCAGACCACAGGCAGGGAGCTGGATGGGAAACAGGGTTGTGAGGATTAGAACTGGCACCCATACAGGATCCTGGTACGTGCCAGGCAAGGAGTTTAGCTGCTAGGCTACCACTCTGGGCCCTACATTTTACTTTTAAGAAAAAGTATTTTAACATGTTTATTTAATGATAGTAGTAAATGACTTGCTGATCAGATTGATATATTTGTCTTTAGGTATATTTATTTGCATCAAAGAACTTAGAAGAGAGAAAGCTCAAATATGTCCAACTATCACTGAAGATTTTGAGGAAAAAAGTGGAGGAAAACTGAAAAATTGCTGGAATTTGTAGTGTATGGTTTTAACATTTTACATTTTGTGTTCTATAGCAAAATACGAAGATCTTTATGCATTCTCTTACAATCCTAAACAAAATGACTCAGAACGACTACACGGTTGGCACCTCATTGACCTTGCTGAGGAATATAAGAGAATGGGAGTGCCAAATTCCAATTGGCAGTTGTCTGATGCCAACCGAGAATACAAGGTAATTCAGTCACCTTTTGGAGAAATTGAGCAAAGTTGTCTTTATATTGCAGTTTTCTGTTCTTGCATTTAATGTTTAAGGTTTTGTTTTGTTTTAAATTTGAAATGCAGAGTGACAGAGACAGACGGAAATAGAAGGGGAAGTGTCTCGTGTCTGCTCCCCAAAGGGCCTCAGGAGCCAGAACTGCGCTGGGCTGGAGCTGGGAGGCGGGAAGTCCGTCCTGCTGGAGCCAGGACTGTGCTAGGCTGGAGCTGGGAGGCGGGAAGTCCGTCCTGCTCTCTAGAATGGGTGGCAGGAGCCCGAGTGCTTGGGCCGTCCTCTCTGGCTTTCCCAGGCGCACTAGCCAGGAGCTGAGACAGAAGCAGAGCAGCTGGTCTTCCAGCTGGCCCTCCAGTATGCCAAAGCATGGGTTCTGTGTTTAAAGGGGTTTTTTTTTTTTTTAAGATTTATTTTATTTTTATTGGAAAGGCGGATATACAGAGAGGAGAGACAGAGAGGAAGATCTTCCATCCGATGATTCACTCCCCAAGTGAGCGCAACGGCTGATGCCATGCCGATCCGAAGCCAGGAGCCTCTTCCAGGTCTCCCACGTGGGTGCAGGGTCCCAAAGCTTTGGGCCGTCCTCGACTGCTTTCCCAGGCCACAGGCAGGGAGCTGGAAGGGAAGTGGGGCTGCTGGGATTGGAACCGGCGCCCATATGGGATCCCGGGCGTGTAAGGCGAGGACCTTAACCACTGCGCCACCGCGCCGGGCCCATGTTTAAAGGTTTTTAAAGGTTTAAAAAAGATTTTTTATTTGAAAGGGAGTAGTGAAGATAAAGAGGGGATGAGAAAGGGAGAGAACAAGAGAGATCTTCATCCACTGGTTTGCTCCCCAGATGGCCAGAAGTGTAAGGACTGGACCAGGAACTCTGTCCAGGTCTCCAGCATGGATGGCAGGGGCACATGGTCTTGGGCATCCATCCACTGTGTTTCCCAGCGTATCAGCAGGTCTCCAGCATGGATGGCAGGGGCACACGTCCTTGGGCCGTCATCCACTGCGTTTCCCGGCATGTCAGGAGGAACCTGGATTGGAAGCTAAGCGGCAAGGGCTTAAAGTAATGCTTCAGGATTGGGAAACTAACATCTGTGCCACAATGCTGTCTCCACGTCATGGTTTTTGAACTCTGATAAAGTGTTTATGTTTTAATTGATATTTACAGATTTGTGAAACTTATCCTAGAGAACTTTATGTTCCCCGGATAGCAAGCAAACCAATAATTGTTGGTAGTTCCAAGTTCCGGAGCAAGGGAAGATTCCCAGTTCTTTCTTACTATCATCAGGACAAGGAGGTAAGAACCTTTTGTTTGAATTGTACAAATGTAGTATTAGTTCCACTTCATGTTTAGATATACAGAAGAACACTGATTTTAACTGAGGTCATTATTTTAATGTTGCTGTTAGAGATGTGCGGACTTTTCACTTACTTGCATTTTTGAAGTTTTGAAACAATGCTGCCTTAAAGCGTAGAGGCCTTCTCCTTGTTGTCTTCCTTTTTCATCCCTCCTTTCCTTCCAGTGGTGACTTCAAAGTAATGGAATTCATGAACAGATAGGTTTGTTTTCCCCCCTGTACTGCTCATTTGATCCTGCTTTTGGGACAGTGGAGTTTGACAAACCAACCATGGAGAGAAGGAGGCGGGGTATCCAGCTTTTATTTTCATAGCTCTTTGTGAGGTCAGAGGTTTTATGACATAAACAGTGAAGCATGACTCTTTACACTGACGTACAATAATGGAGACTGCTTATTGCCGTCAGTCTTAATTTTGGTAGCGTGCTGACAATGAGACCAAGAGTGTTGTATGTGTAGAATTTTATATGCGTATCCTCATATCTAAGATAAGCTGTGTTAATTACCTATGCCTTTTTCTGTTCATCTTTGAGAGCCAGAACGCACACATCCCCATTCAGCTGTTAGTTCCTTCAGTGGTAGGCATGTGCCAGGGCTAAAGTTAAGGACTGGGAACTCATTCCAGGTCTCCTGTGTGGGTGACAGGCACCCAGTTTCTGGTACCTCCATTGCCGCCCGCTGGAGTCCGGCTCAGCAGGAGGCAGAGCCGACCTGGGCTCACATACTTCAGTGTGACACACTGACATGTAACTGGCTGCGCGCCCACTGCTACCGTAACCGTCATGGGGAAACTGAAATTATAGAAGATAAATTACTTTCCCGTAGCTTTCCGCAAGTAACTTTAGTCACTTAATGCTATTTCCGATTCCCAGTTGTTTGTGACTTTTTATTTTTCCTCTGGAGAAAATAAAAACTTTAGAAACTTCTTTCTGTTGTTTTGAGTTTTCACAGTGATGTGCCTTGGCTGGTTTTTTATATTTCATCTGATGGAAAATTGCTTTTTCAATTTTTGCAGTAGTCTTCTTTCTTGTTACTACTTTTTGTTTTTTAACTTATGTGGACTGACAGTTGGGCTTCCTGACATAAATGTCCACTTGCCTTAGCTTCTTCTACTTGCAGTCTCTGTTTTCTGGAAGATTTCCTTAACCTTATTTCCATTCTATCTCAGGAATCACTTATTTTTCCAGTAGCTAAGAGTTCTTTCCTATTTTCTGGAAATATTCTAGACAGGTTTTCTTGGGTGTTATGTCTTAGTTCTCTGTGTTAGGAATGAGCCTGCGGTAGAGACTCTTCGGCTTCCACTTCAGTGGTGGTGTTTGCTTTTCCCTCAGAGCAGCTCTTTGTCTATTGTTTGGTTTTATGTCTTTCGAATTTCTGGTTAGGGGCTGGGCTCTCATTGAAGCTGACAAATTTCTGTTCATCAGCAGTCCATCTTTGGATTCTTTCTGCTGTGTAGGTTGGTTTCATTGAAGAAGAATGATCTAATTTTATGATAAATTGTGTGATATGTCTGGCTGTTAGCATGTCCCCCGTGTTAGCGTGAAGTGCGTGTCCCCTGTCCTGTTTCGTAGGCTTTTCTTTTAATCTATCTGCTCCTGAGGGTGTTGGGCCTTGCCCATAGCTCTGCCTGCCGTCTGGAACCTTCAGGCGAGTCCTCTTCATCAAGGAGCCTTTGTCTCTAGGTGAGGGAGGCTCTGAGGGGCCCGCACCAGTCCTGACACTGCACTCAGTCCGTTTTGCTTTAACAGAATCCTGCTCAGGCTTTCAGAGGTACCTATTCCTGAGCCTCTCAAAGCCCTTGCTTCTCGTTGACTTTAGGAGTAGGCAACTTTCTTTGTTGAATTGATTATCATTTACTAATCTGCCACCAGCTCCCCAGATCTGACTGACATCCCCATTCTTGTTTGTTTTCCCATTTTCTTTTCCCACGGTCTTATGTATTTTAAATATATTTAGTTGGATTTTGAAATGGAGAATAAGTAAAAGCTAAACAAAAGCTTCATATACTAAGTCATGGAAAGGTTACTTAGTTATAGCCCCAGTTTGTGTACATGTTTGTAAAATTTTTTTATCACAGGACTGTGCCAAACTGAAAGAAAACACAAAAAAGATCTAAAAAGAATTTACTAAGTCTGTATTCATTTTACTTATTCGTGGCCTCATGGTTTTATTATGTGTGTTTTACAGAGAGAAGGGGAAACAGAGAGAGAGAGAAGAGATCATTCATTTGTTAGTTCACTCCCTAGATGGCCAGCCCTGGGCCAGGCTGAAGCCAGAAGCCATGAGCTTCACCAGGGTCTCCCACATGGGTGGCAACGGCCAGAGCTTAGGCGATCGAAGCCAGGAGTCAGGAACTTCTTCCAGGTGTTTCACACATGTGCATGGTCCCAAAGCTTTGGGCCGTCCTCAACTGCTTTCCCAAGCCACAAGCAGGGGCTGGATGGGAAGTGGGGCTGCTGGACTGGTACCCACATGAGATCCTGCTGCATGCAGGGCAAGGACTTTAGCTACTAGGCTACCATACTGGGCCCCTGTTGCTTTTCTTTCCTTTTTTTTTTTTTTTAATCAAACTAGGTAAGGAAACATCTGAAAAAGAAGGAAAAAAAGCTAGATAAGGAATCATTTCATTTTCTTAGGAGAAGAAGATAATAGGGAAACTTAGTATCAAGATATTGAAATATTATTTAATTCAAATAGGATTTCAAAGTTAGTGATTTCTAATGGTCTTGCCAAGTTTTGAACAGATTGCGTATTTTAACATCTTGGTTTTCTTTCTTTTCAACAGGTTTTCGAGCCATGTTTGCATAATCTGTTTTCTTTCTTTCTTTCTCACGTCAGGCTGCCATTTGTCGATGCAGTCAGCCGTTGTCCGGATTCAGTGCCAGGTGTCTGGAGGATGAACATTTGCTTCAAGCCATCAGCAAAGCCAACCCGGCCAATCGCTATATGTACGTCATGGACACCAGGCCCAAAGTATGCTCCTTCATCTCTGGTACTTTAACTAATGGGAATGAAGAAATTTTCCTGTATTTAAGATGTATGAATCCTGGTTTGAAAGTGACCAAGGTTAATGATGCTGAGATTTCAGTTCTCTAAAGTATATCAGCTTAGAAGATCATTTTTGCTAAGTAACACAGATGATTGCTTATATGTTCTGGTATATACTTTTAGAACACCAGATTTTTTTTTTTTTTTACCTTAAATTTATTTGGGAGGAAAAGAGAGGGAATGAGAGAGTACTCCCATGCACTGGTTAACTCCTCAGATCCCCACGATGGCTGGGGCTGGAGCTGGAACAGGAACTATAACTCTTCTAAGCCAGGTTCTCTGATATGGGACACAGGCTTTTTTTTTTTTTTAAGTTTTTGTTTATGATTTTTATTGGAAAAACAGATCCGTCTTATAGAAAAAAGACAAAGAGAAAGATCTTCCATCCACTGGTTTGCTCCCCAAATGGCCACAACAGCCAGAGCTGAGCTGATCCAGAGCCAGGAGCCAGGAGCTTCTTCTGAGTCTCCCACATGGGTGCAGAGTCCTAAGCCTTTGTACCATCCTATATTGCTTTCCCAGCCCACAAGCAGGGAGTTGGAATGGAAGTGGGGCTGCCGGGACACAAACTTGTGCTCGTACGGCATTCTGACACTTGCAAGGTGAGGATTTAGCCATTGAGCCATTGCGCTGGCCCCGGGACACAGACATCCTTAAGCACTATTGTAAATGCCTGTGCCAGGAAGGCTAAATTGTATTTTAAGAAATCAGGATGGTGTATAAGTTTTATATTGTTATGAAGAAATACTAAATTGAATTCATAAGATTTAGAAATTCTTATTACTCTTGTAGAAGTTTTAATTGGCAAAGCATTTTGTGTTGAAATAATGGATCTTAATTTGAAATAGTCAAGAAAATAAGGGAAAATGTAAGTTAGGAAGCATTGACTAACAAACCACAGTTTAAGCATTGATGGTAAAAAAACCTGAAATCTGAAATAGTTGAAAATTTAAAATATTTTGGTGCTGATATGATGCCACCATAGTGGACAATTTCTTACCTTAAAACTTCGCTTCATATACAAAATTATTGAAATATCGTATAAAATTACCTTTGGCTGTACATGTAAGGTATAGATGAAGCAAATTAATTTTATGTTTATACTTGGATCCCACTCCCAAGAGTGCAGATATTCCAGAATCCCACAACAATCTCAAACACTAAGGAATATTCAACATGTATAAGGAATATTCAACATGTATAAATCATAGATAAGAAATTGTTCTGTTATGCATTTGTACTGTACAGCTAAAATTTTTTATCATACAGGCAAATGCTATAAATACTAGGATTTTTTTTTTTGACTAGACGGTTAAACCACCAGTTCCTGTAGGATCCTGAAGGTAAGTTAATTAAAATCCTCAGTGGTGATAGCTAACATTACTTTTAATTTTTATTATAGCACCGCATGCAGAGCTGGTGGGATACACAAAAGGACATTGGCAAAGTAATAGTGAGGATTTCTTCAATAATCTGGAATGATGAGGAGATAAAAGAAAGCGATGAGGAAAAGCGAGTGAGCAATGTAGAACCCAGCCATTTGAGGCAGCTTTGTGGAAGGAGTGGTAGCTGTTTCAGAAGTAATTCTCATCGTTACTCTGTGTCACAGAACTCTGGGCGAAAACAGTTGATGTTAATTTGAATAAATCGATAAGTATTTGGTAAACCCCAAACTGAAGATTTGATCATATTTTCTTTGGTTCAAAATAAGAGAGTCTCTTTAGGAGTCTAGCTGATATTGTCTCCTATAAGAAAAATTTGTTTACTTCTTTTATATAATCTGGACTAACTAATTGGATAGAGCTCTTTTTTAAGTAATATTAGATGTAAAAGGTGATTTTATTATTGAGACTTTACTGAAAAAGAGGGTTGATAATGATTTGTTACTCAGGACCCCATAACTTTTATTTGTGTAGTGGTCCTCTACACAAAAAAAATTCTTTGCTCTACTGGTAAATTTTAAAATTAAGTAGCAATAATGCAGAAGCAATTTTAATATCTAAATTTTAATTTTATTGTAGTCCTTGTAGGTAGTAGATGACCAGTAGACTTGATTAACTGCAACTTGAATGTATTTGCTGCTAACCTGGATTATAATCCACTGAATGAAAAGTTACTTTTACTTCCAAATCTGTAAAAAATACTTAGTAAATTATTGTAACATACTATGTGAAATCCTAATATGAAGAGTTAAGCATACCAAATCCTGTGTGAACCTGTGATAAAATTTGATGTGGTAACCAAAAGACCATGGGTCTGTGGGCAGTTTTTATTTTCTGCCTAGAAACCAGTTTATTTTAGGCCTGATTCTTAAAGACATAACCAGATAGTGGATGATACACTGTATTGTACAGTTAAGGGTCCCTGTAACCTGTACTGTGGAGGACCTCAGCTAGCTGGGAATCCTTCAGACCTGGTTTTCCAGGTCCCTGTGGCGGTCTGAATGACCAGTTTCTTCAGGCCTTTTCTGAAGTGATCTCAGAGTTTCATTCTGTAATATGTAAGCTTCCAGCTTTGCTCATATCTGAATTTGGGATTTAGATAGAGAGTATTTCTTTCTTTTTAATTGGAAATATTACAAACATATGGAAAATCAAGTAAAAGCCTTTATTGTTAAGCAGACGTTCTATCTGAATCTTCCCATTGTACAACAATCATATTGGCTTATAGTATTCTTCTTCAGAATTAATAATATAGGTAAAAGTTTTACTATAAAAAGTAGCTTATTCAACTTTGATAAGTTCATTTTAATCTTTCTTAGCTAAAATATGGCTTAGTTCGTGTTTTCTTGACCTTTGCCGTGTTAACACCAAAGCAAATGTAACTTGTCTGAAAATGTCTGATTTTAGCTCAATGCCATGGCCAACAGAGCAGCTGGAAAAGGTTATGAAAACGAAGACAACTATTCTAACATTAGATTTCAGTTTGTTGGAATTGAGAATATTCATGTCATGAGGTCCAGTCTTCAGAAATTATTGGAAGGTATGATCATCGCTTAGCTTTTCAGTAGCTTTGTTCAGTAGTAATGAAATGCTGGTTGTATGTAATTTAGAATTTTCTAGTTGTCACATTTTCAGAAGCAATAAGAAACAGGTGAGATTAATTTTAAATTTATGAAGGCTCTTCAAGAAGTTCATGGACAATGTGTAATAAAAATCTATGCATAGCTTGAAAAAATGATTGGCACCAAAATGAGCTCAAGAGTTTCAGTTTTTGTGAACTCTTCGAAGTCTCCTCCAGTTACCTGATAGCTGGAAATACTCCCTTTAACACGTAGTAAATGTACACAATTGGTAATGATATATTTTACTTTGCATCAGGGTTGGGAATGGGTGCTTGTTTTTACACTGACAGCACATCTCAGTTTAGACTGCACATATCAGGTGTTCAGTAGCTACATCTGGATAGCCGCTCCTGCGTTGTCGAGTGCAAGTCCGGTTGTTCTGTCAAAAATTACACTTGTTAGATATTCTGTTTGGCAGTAGTTAGTGAAAATTAATTTTGATCACGTTTAATCTAAATATTGAATTTTTTTTGAATTATGAGATTTAAAAAAATTTGATAGTTTTAGTTATACACTGTGTTATAGTTTTTTAAAAAGTAGATTGGAATTTTTTTTAAGCACATGGGATAACAGAGAAATAGACCTCTTTTTATCGTACCAATTTTAGTATACGTGCTGCTGAAGCTAGCGCTGGACCTCTTTCTAATTTGTAGAAGCCTTGCTGATTTGTTTTGTTCTCTTGTTTCTCAAAATTCACTCACAGAAGTCTTGAAACGGAAGGCGTGGAGACAGTGGCCCATTCTAACTAGAATGTCTTTTTCCCCTTTTTAGTGAACGGTACCAAAGGGCTTTGTGTCAATGATTTCTACTCTGGTTTGGAGAGCTCAGGCTGGCTTCGTCACATCAAAGCTGTTATGGATGCTGCGATCTTCTTAGCCAAAGTAACACTTTCTGTCTGATATTTGATTTGGGGTTCTATTGGTTGGAAAGGAATGGATTTATTCTGTTAGCTGCTGATTGTTTATTCCAGTCAGGTATACTTTATTATGCTTTGCTTAAAAAAATTATTCATTTTTTATTGGAAAGCTAGATTTACAGAAAGAAAGAGAGACAGAGAAGGAAAGATCTTTTATATACTGATTCACTCCCCAAATGGCTGCAATGGCCAGAGCCAAACCGATCTGAAGCCAGGAACGTGTTCTGAGTCTCCCATGCTGATTTAGGGTGCCCAGGGACTTGGGCCATCCTCTGCTTTGGTTTCCCAGGCTGTAAGCAGGGAGCTGAATGGGAAGTGAAGCAGCTGGGACATGAATCAGCACACACAGGGAATAATGGTATTCGAGGATGGAGGATCAGCTGGCATTGGCCCTGAATATGCTTTAGCTTAAACAAGATTCACTTTGAAATGAGATTTAAAATTATCACCTAGCACTTAAAGACTTTAAAGAAAGTTCATCACAGCATTTTTATTAATTTTAAAATGTTTTCTTTATGTAATGTAATTGCGGGTGGTTTTGTTTTGTTTTTGGAATGATGCTATGTCAGTGTTACCGTTGTAGGCACAGCTGTTTCATGCAGTGTACTAGTCGTTGGTGTGGTTTTCCAAAGGCTACTGATCTTCCTGCAAGGCTCTAATGATGTCGCCTTTCTTTTCAGGCGATCGTGGTTGAAAATGCCAGTGTGTTGGTGCACTGTTCTGATGGCTGGGATAGGACTTCCCAGGTGTGCTCCCTTGGCTCTCTTCTGCTGGACCCCTTCTACCGCACAGCCACAGGCTTCATGGTAAGAATCTGAAGTCGCCTGTGCCCTCGGGGCCATCAGGCAATTGGAAGAAGCAGTTCAGCACTAAAGCCAATGGTGTGACCAGCGTCTAGTTGGCGGAGGCCGTGGATACTGCTGACCACTGCTTGTGCACATGACAGTGGTCACAGCAAAGAACTGTCTGGCTCAGAATGTCACACTCAGCTTGGGAGATCTTGAGTTAGACTGATTTTCCTTTGTGCTTCCTTTGTGACAAAGGGCTTTGAATTTAAAAGGATTGTTTTTTCTATAATGTTACCAAAGGAATAGTCAATATTATCTCTGATATTTAGCCAACAGCTGTAAGTAATATGGTAAAACAAGGCACAAATTTGAATATGTAAAATTTTATTTTTCCAGAAACTTTATTTTTACTGGAAGTACAGATATGCAAGAGATAAGGAGAGACAGAGAGAGAAAGTGTTTTGTCTGCTGTTTCACTCCCCAAGTGTCCACAGTGGCCAGAGCTGAATTCATCTAAAGCTGGGAGCCAGGAGCTTCCTCTGGGGCTCCCGTGTAGGTGCAGGGTCCCAAAGCTTTGAGCCGTCCTCAGCTGCTTTCCTAGGCCACAAGCAGGGAGCTGGATGGGAAGTGGAGCAGCTGGGGCATGAACTGGCACCTTTACAGGATCCTGATAGATGCAAGGCGAGCTTAGCCACTAGGCTACCATGCCAGGACCCAGGAAGCTTACTTAAAACACTTTCCCAAAGGGACAAATATCGTATGTTCTTTTATATAAGCCAACCTTCATGCCAAATACAAGACTAGCAGATATGTCGGTAAGCATATATATGTATATATTTATCTAGAGGATCTGTATAATACAGGGAAGTATACCATGTAGTGGAGATACACTGCTGTATGGTCATCCCTACTTCTCAATAAAAGGTGGACTCCCAATGAAACTTAAATATATTGACAATAGAATGCTGGACTTAATATCATCCTCGAAACCCACAATGTCAGGATACACTTGACCAGCAGGATGATAGATTTGTGACTATATTGTTGCACTGTGGGAGAGGACAGAGGGGGGAAGAGGAAATCCCTGAGCTTAAGGAACTGTATTATGAAAAATAAAGACTTGACTTAAAAAAAAAATGAAAAGCACCTTCATTTAAGTTTGATAATGTGTTAGGAATATTTTAGAAATGATGAAAAAGTTTACATCCTGATCCAGGTCAGGTGAATAAGAATTGTTGGAATGATTTTATTAGTTTAGAATTATCAAATAGCACGTTGAAGGTAGAGTGGTGTAGGAAAGGGGATCCGGCGGCCAGGGTAGAGGCCGTTAGGAGAGTTCGTGGGGGCAGAAAGGGCCAGATCTAAGGCGAAGCGGGAGCAGGGAGGTGGGGAGCAGACGATGGCTTCTGTAGTGCACAGAAAGTAGAGTCTAAGTGCTGCTCATGCATTGGGGTAGAGAGGAGAGAGCTCCTCTGAATTTCCAGGTTCCGGGTTGAGCAGTGCCCTCTCTTGTTCCTCACTAAACTAAGGCGAGGAGCAAGTTTAGTGTGAAAGGCGTTGAGTTTCAACACAGTGTGGCTAAAAAAGCCGTGACCCAGAAACCAGATATGGACAGTTCAGGCCAGAGGAGAGAGAGCAACATTTAGACCTGCACATAACCTACATTTTCATTGTTCTATTCATTATTAACTTTTTTCTTAAAAAGGTATAATTAATGTATAAGTGAATTAAAAGATTTAGGTCATCTGCTCAAGTCTTTCTCCCAGAATTGACCATTGCTTACCTTTCCTGTGTATTTTCCTTGTATTTTTCTATAACTATCATCTTTATACATTCAAGAAGATTAATGTAATACTACCTTAGCAACGTAGAAGTTCTCACTTAAAATGTGATAAGCACAACTAGGTCATTTAAGTTGCAAGACCACTCTTTATGTGTTTTACTCTTCTTTAAGCTGCCTTTGACCAAGGGTCTGGCCTTTAACGTTTGCATTTTTATTATAATTAAAAGTGTAAGCTAAGGCGAATAGGATATAATCCATTTAAAATAAGCAGTAAAGTTTTTAAGTGGATATAATGTGGGTTTTTCTTTTTCTCATTAAGGTTTTAATTGAAAAAGATTGGATTTCTTTTGGACATAAATTTTCAGAGAGGTGAGTCACATTTATTTATTTAACCATATATTAACTAAAACTAGTAAATGAAGGTATCAAAGTGTTTCTTTTCTCCTGAATTCAAATATCTAATGAGAGATGACAGTGCTGTGTTTTATGCAAAAACTGATTTATTTTCTGTCATTAATTTCAATTTTAATATCTTTGCTAATTTTCATGGGTATCTTCCTTTTGAGCTGCAGTATAGTCATTAAAAGATAACAAATCCTTTAGTGTTGTAAGAAACCACATAGGTGTAAATGGTTTCAGTAAGACATCTTTTTTCGTGTTGGCATAATAGTGTTTTCGAATCAAGTTTTGTCATTGTGTTCAAGTTTTGTAATGCCTTAACAGTGGGTCTCTTTCAGAGGCGATTTTAATAGCTCGTTCTTTCTGGGGGGTTAGGTGTGGCCATTTGGATGGTGACCCAAAGGAAGTCTCACCAGTGTTTACTCAGTTCTTGGAATGTGTATGGCATTTGACTGAACAGTTTCCACAAGCCTTTGAATTCAATGAAGCATTTCTTCTTCAGATCCATGAACATATTTACTCATGCCAATTTGGAAACTTCCTTGGAAATTGTCAGAAGGAAAGAGAAGAACTCAAGTAAGATAACTTGATTAAAACAGACTCTAGTTTTTCTTTTTTCATTGAGGTCCAACAAATCATGGTTGAACTTAAATCTCAACAGTATGAAAAGGAATTGAATTTTATTATAAAGATTTTATTGTCTGTATTTCTGAAAATAAGTACCCTTCAAACGTCGCCCATTCCCCTCAGGGTAAACAGTAGGAATGCATTTTAAGTACACTTTAAATATACAGAAAGGTGTCGTCCAGGAGATCTTAGTAGTCTTGCACAGTGATGTAACCAGAATCCTTGGCAGGAAACATTGCCAGCTCCCTGGAAGCTCACCTCACCCTCCTTCTCAGTCTGTTTTAGAACAGAGAAGACTTCTCATTATTTCCCCAGAAATACTGGTCAGTAGTTTTAAAGCATGGTAAAAGATTTGACTGTCGATTTGTTTCAAGGTGCAGGATAGCCTTAGGGTTTTCCCACAGTTCTAAATAGGCAGCCCTTTGGAGAAAATGCGTTAGCCTCAGTGCCTGTCACCTGTCCCTAAGGCAGGATCTCAGATACACTCTGAGACACCAGCTCCTAGTCACTGATTCTTTTCTAGCCAGTCTTCAGGGAAAAGAATTTTTGCCTAAACTTGGATTCAGGGAAGATCTGGGGTGAGGCTGAGAGATCCCATACAAATTTTTAGATTGGGCAATGAAGAACTGTTACAGATTCTTAATCATATTAGAGAAGCTAGCTCTGTAAGTACTTGGAAGACAGCCACATGCTCAGACCCTCGACAGGGACAACACAGAGCTGAGAGCACGTGGGAATTCTAAAAGTGATAAAGGGAATTGCAAGTAACTAGAACACTGCAGAGGTGACTAATCGGAAGAACGTTAACACTTTAGCTCTGCACTACGGAATTCACAGTACTTATTGTAATTTGGAGCAGGTGACTTTCTCGTATGACACAACGATAGGAAGAATAGGGAATACTGTTCTCAATTCCATGCATGTGGTAATTTTAACTAGATGGGACAGAGGTCAGAGAGAGAGAGAGAGAAAATGTGAGTGAGTTAGCTGGTATACCCCCTAAGAGTTGCAAAGGCCAGAGGTGAGCCTGGCTGAATCCACGAGCCTGAGTTTGGCTCCTCAGTGTAGGCCCAGGGGCCTAAGTGCTTGACCCTCTGTGGCTTTCCCAGGTACACTGGCTGCATTTGAAGGTCAGCAGTCGGGATTCAGACTGCACTCTGATAGAGATGTTGGCATTACAAGTGCTGGCGTCAGCCTACTGCACCACAGTGTCAGCCCGCAAATCTGAGTTTTTAAATTATGTGAGTTGAGAGGAGTCCCTTAAAAGCCTATGTTTGTGAGAGAAAATGGCAGACCTACTATCTTCAAGTGATATGCCTTTATTAATTGCATGGTTATGAATGAAAAAAGAGAAAATACAAAATTTAGAGACAAGAAGTTAGACTGTGAATAGAAGGAACAAAGTACACATAGTTGCCTGATTTGTGAAAATGAGTGCTCGCCACACTGCTTTGTGTCTCTGAAAACATGTTCTATATTTCTCATTAAGGCTGAAGGAGAAGACGTACTCCTTATGGCCGTTTCTTTTGGATGACCTGAAGAAGTACTTAAATCCTGTCTACAGTCCTGAAAGATTCACAGTTTTGGAGCCAAATACAGTATCATTCAATTTTAAGTAAGTTGGCAACATTGAAGCTTTTCATGTGTTTGTTTCAAGCACAACTGATTGAAACTTTTTTCTTTTTGTCATAAAGGTTTTGGAGAAACATGTACCACCAGTTTGATCGAACGTTGCATCCTAGGCAGTCTGTGTTGAATAGAATTATGAATATGAATGAGCAAAATAAGCAGTTAGAGCAAGATGTTAAAGACCTAGAATCTGTAAGTATTCTAAAGTATCAAATGTAGTATATTGAGAATATTACTTTAACTTACTCTTAAACCGATAGTATGTGTACTGTCATTGTAAATCAGTGTATTAAAACCTAAGTACACATGCTTTAAAATCGGAGCTCCTCTGCCTTGCTTGAATAGATTAGTTTGAATTTTAATAATTTTCTATATACTAAATACCTGAAGTGTTGAGCAAAGTGAGAGATTCATATACATGGTACATACATGGGTACCCAGCAGCCAGCTTGGAGATTGCTTGCATGTACCGTGTGCTTTAGATGCTCCTCATGATTGTTTAGGAAATAAAATACTATAGACATGTAAAGACACTAGGTAATGCTAGTTGCTCTTCCCCAATCAGTGTGAGGTGCATGGAGGCAGTGTGCTAAATTTTGTGTGAATTTTCTTGCAGACATTGTTACACTTTCATTGTGTGTTTATATCCACAATTTATATAATATTTTCGTGATAGAAAATATTACGTTTCTGCATGTTGAAAGACTGCACCCCAAAGTCTGTCATGTTTGTATGAGATTATAAAGGACATCAAACAACATACATGACCATATAACTTTCACTCTGCTTAAAAAGTGATCTTTTTCAACAACTCTAGAACGTGGTTTTGTAATGTGTCCATGTTGTTGTAGGTAGTTTTAATTCATCTGTTTAATTAATGGCGTGTGTAGTTTTGTGTTGTATGAATATATCTAACCCGAGAGCTGCTGGTGAATATTGAAATGATTTTCATGTTTGGGTTTCCCTGGTTATAAATGAAATCCAGTAACCTTTCATATCTGTTGACCGTTTGGTTTTCCTTGTCTCTGAATTGACCACTCATCAATCTGTTGGTGCGTTTGTTTTTTTCTTGCAGGTTTGTAAGGGTTCTTGTTATACCAGGCACTGACTCTTCGTTTATATATTTTGCAAATGGCTTTGTTGAGCCTGATTTTTATCTTTTCTACATCATGGCACTTTTTTTTATAGATGTTTTGGAATTTTGCTTAAACTGATCCGTCTTTGTATTTTGTGTTTTATTTGTACCCTAAAATATTCCTCTCCTTGTAAGAATTTTCTGTAATCTTTTTGGAATCCTAGCCAATTGATATAACTCAGCAAGACTGTCTGCCTCAGGCAGGAGTAGTTGAAGATGAGAACCTGTGGGGAGTGTGCTTGTTAAAGAGGGTTAAGTCCAGCGTGGGGGTAATGGAAGACGGTGATCAGCCTGTGGATTTCAGGAGCATAATGTACTACCAAAACACTTTAAGCTTTGGCTATTCTGTTTGAAAAAAATAAAAAGTTCTCGTGTTCTAAAGCCTGCTTTGTGTGCTTAACAATGACTATAGGAAAGCTTTGTAAAGAAAGCTCCTCACAGTGAGAATTTTAGCTATAAATTAGCTTCGGGTTGTTACACAGTTGTGATTTAAGAAGTGAGCCCCTCCCGGACTTCTTTCATTATAAAATGTGTGATATTCTTTCTAGGTAAACTGCACCCTTTTTTTTTTTTTTAAAGATTTATTTTTATTATTTTTTTGTTGGAAAGGCGGATATACAGAGAGGAGGAGAGACAGAGAGGACGATCTTCCATCCGATGATTCACTCCCCAAGTGAGCTCAACGTTTGATGCTATGCCGATCCGAAGCCAGGAGCCTCTTCCGGGTCTCCCACGCGGGTGCAGGGTCCCAAAGCCCTGGGCCGTCCTCGACTGCTTTCCTGGTCCACAGGCAGGGAGCTGGAAGGGAAGCGGGGCTGCCGGGATAGAACCGGTGCCCATATGGGATCCCGGGCGTGCAAGGCGAGGACCTTAACCACTGTGCCACCGCGCCGGGCCCAACTGCACCCTTTTTAAAGATGAAGGCCTAGTGATTGCATTCATGTCAGGCCGGAGTGTGTGTATAACAAATATGAAAACTTAACCTAGAAAGTTGTAAATAGAATTTTCAGCCATGTCAAATCACTAGACTTTGTTAGATTTAATTTGTGTCATACATAAAGAGAACATTTGCAAAACGATGTATTTTACCTAATGTGTGTTGACTATGTGATATGTGCCATTAAGGTTTTTTTTTTTTTTTTCTATTTGTTCTAGAAAATTAAACAATGCAAAAACCAAGAGACAGATGGCGTGCTCGCCAAGGAACTGTTGCGTTCAGTTCATCCTGAGTCACCTGCTCTGAAGGCCTCCCTGTGTTTGAAAGAGCAGAGTCTGCTGCCGGGGAACGATGCTCTGCGAACTATAGAGGGCAGCAGCCCTGCGGACAATCGGTACAGTGACTATGCCGAGGAGTTCAGCAAGGCGGAGCCTGCTGTGGTGAGCCTGGAGTATGGCGTGGCCAGAATGACCTGCTAGGCTCACACAGGATTCTCGGGACTGCCCTCGTTCAAGAATTGGATTGTTGTGAGGATGGTCTGTGTGTATGGCCAAAAGGGACCTGTTGAATAATGATCTTAGAGCTCACCAGTGGGTGAATTATTGAAGACAGGACAACTGCCCTTGTGAGAAAAATAAGTCCCTTTAGTATTGTAGCAAAGGATGACATTTGGTTCTGTAAAAAATGAGTGGTGTTTGGTGGATTTCCTGAAAATGCAGTTTGCACTGTATACTAAGGAGTTATTACTATATAATTTGAGTTTGCCTTCCCTAAGTATAATTTAGCTACAGTGAAATAAAACTTTACAAAATCGTCCCTTAATAATTGACATAGCATGTACTTTCAATTATGTAACTGTAACTGAATATTTACTTCTTTTGCCTTTTAGTGATGTTTAATGTTGAAGTGCCATGAAACATTTCTGAGAAAGCCTTAAAACAAACTCTGAGTTTATTCTTTACCATTGAGTTTTCTGTAGGCCGGCAGAGGATTCTGGGGTGTTGATTTTCCGTTGGCCAGCTTTGCAGAGCATTGCACTGTCATTAGTGCAGGGGTTGCATGCTTCAGTATCCGTGTACAGCAGTTGCTGAGGCACACTGTCAGGTCATAGTTAGCTGGCCCCACTTACATGTTCAGAATTAGTGAAACTGAACATTTTATTTTGTTATCATTTGTTTAGTGATACATTTGAATGCCAGCTTGAACATGTACTGCACGTTCGACTCTTTTTTTTTTTGTATGGATTACTGGATTCTGTTGATTCTTGTGGTTGGCTTTGTTTCTTTAACAACTCTAAGTTAACGTGCTAAGGCTCCAAAACTTTGAAAGCAATGAATATGTTTTCATATATATAATATATATGTAATATATATTTATATATATGTATATATTAAACTGCCTTATCTCAGAGCATTGATATTCTTACTCTCTTGACTTTCAGTTTACCTAGAAACTTTTGGGTACAATGAAAAGGGAAGTACTGATTTTGCTTGGATGCGTGAATTTTAAAGCAGTCATTTCTGTATGGAACATTTTTTTTTTCCTTCTCTGTTAAATATAGAAGGGGAAAAAAAAGAAAATTAAGGAGGGTGCAGTACATAGTTAATGTGTAACAAAAGCAACTTAAGCTTCAGGAAGGGTTTCACTTTGTTTGAATAAATATATCTTTAAATTACAAAAAAAAAAAAACACTTGTAATTTACAGTACCACCCAGCTGGCTTTAAAGCTGAAAATAATGGAGTAACCTGGTTGGCCTGGGAGGAGTAGGAAGTCTGCGTAGGAGCCCTCGTGCTGTTCTTTATTATACCCTGTGCCTGTTATATTAATTTTGAACATAAACATCTTTTTCAAGTGGGAAAAAAAAGCTTTATTGTATAAGAGCTTATCTAATCCTGTTTATTTTTTTCAGTGTTTTTCTGTAATACATTTGTAATATCAAAGAATACTCCGTTTTAAGTAGTAACAGAAGTATACTATAAAGTGTAGTGTGCGGTTAATCAATTCTGTTTCCATATTTAAGCACTGGGAAGGGAAATGGTCTCTGACCTGAGAGAGAAGCTTTAGTGCCTTCGTTCTAGACGTGGGCTGTGGCTTTAGAATCTTTTATTGGCAGGTTACTTATTTCCACTCTGATTTATTTTCATGATCTGCAACTCCAGGTGTATAAGTGTGTGTGTGAGTGTGTATATGTGTATATAAATATACATATGAATATGTGCTCACCCCATGTGCTGAGAAATCAGTTAACATCCTAAGTGACCTATAGGGTATACGCTGGTATAAAGCAGATTGTGTATCTTGTATGTCCTACAAAATTGAATTTATGTTCAGTGTCTTGGATATATACAGCTTGTACATTATTTCATCTGTCATTTAGAGTTAATTAAATGTTGATGCATTACTTTGAATTTTTTTCTTCTGGGAGAAACAAACAGAATCAAGTTGTAGTGGTTTTTTTTTTTGCCCCTCACCTAGACAAAGAGATCTGTACACTGAATTAATATAGAAAATAAGCCTTGAGCAGTTCATTTTTCCAAAAGATTATTGATTATACATTTTATGTGCAAATAATTTACAAAATATTTAAACATAGGCCTAGTGTTCTAAAACACTCAGTGGTTATAGTTAATAGTCATTAAAATTTCTTCTTGTGCCTGTCACTGGCTGTTACTGTACAAGCAGTATTTTGTTATGCCTTTGCCAACTTCCTGGTAGAAGGGAGGTTCCAATTTTTGCAGGTGAAATTGTGGGACTGTGTTCCCTGGCTGTTGTATTCCAATTCTCGACCCTGTGTGAGATAAGAATTCGAAGTAGAAACAAAAGTAACTTGGAGAACTTATTCGGAAAGGAGAATGCGCATCCAGGTATAAACTCCAGGAAGAGAGAGACATGCCATGGTAAGAGGGAGAGCGCTAGCCCTCAGTCAGTAGTTCCTTTCATTGGGTCAGGGCTGGTATCCTAATGGGATATACAGATGGGGCAGGGTTGGGGCAGGACTCTGCTGGCCATGTGCTCTGGGAAGGCTGTGATGGTGTCTGCTCTTGGAGCACGGTGCACCTGTGCTTGTCATGGCCGTGTCAGGTCATGGAGGAGCCTTCGGTCAGCTATGGGAATGGGAGTTGCTAGAGTGCATAGGGGGTGAAGTTAGGGTGCAGGGCTAGAGATGGAAACTGGGACCCCACACTCCCTCACAACTCTGGGTGTACACAGAGGGTATTTAAGGTTAAGTAAGTAACTTGGGGGATCTCAATAAAAGTAAGTGGTATTTTATAAAGATTGCTGTTCTGTATATTTGGCGGAATAGCAGAATGGGGTGGTGCCAGTCTAGCTTTCTTGGAAATTTTTTTTTTTTTGTGGAAGGCCAATTTAGAAGGCCTTAAAAAGTTTCTACCTGACATTTTAAGTTGGATTAAATGCTAATCATCTGCAACACTAAATAGGCTAGTTACATTTCTTAGGGATGTTGATCCATTTTCATTAGCTAAGTTTTGTTGCCTTTATGGTATGGAAATCCAGGGACATACTAAAATGTAAATGAAGATTTTAGCTAGTTTTTCCTCTAGATTTAAGTTCTCAAAGCTTACATACATGCTAAGAAGGATAGCTAGAATCTACTACTCTGCGAAGAGTTTATAGGCCAGTGTACCTGATACTTCGTAAGAAAATACAAGACATGAATCCAGTTTAATAAGCAGTAGTAGTGCTATTCTGGATTTTTTTTTTTTTAAGAAAAGACTATTTTTGTGCTCAGCACGATAGCTTAGTGGCTAAAGTCCTTGCCTTGCATGCGCCGGGATCCCAAATGGGCTCTGGTTTGTGTCCCGCAGCCCTGCATCCCATCCAGCTCCCTGCTTGTGGCCTGGGAAAGCAGTCGAGGACAGCCCAAAGCCTTAGGACTCTGCACCCGCGTGGGAGACCTGGAAGAGGCTCCTGGCTCCTGGCTCCTGGCTCCTGGCTCCTGGCTCCTGGCTCTTGGCTCCTGGCTCCTGGCTTTGCATTGGCTCAGCTTCAGCCCGTTGCGGCCACTCTGGGAGCTGGGACATGAGGCAGCTGTATATAAATGTGAAGCAGCTGAGACATGAGCTGGGTCCCGTAAGAGATGTGGCACCATAGAGGCTCAGCCTACACCAGTCCCAAAGGTGTTTCTTTTTTTTTTTTTTTTTTTTAAAGATTTATTTTTATTATTTTCTCATTGGAAAGGCGGATATACAGAGAGGAGAGACAGAGAGGAAGATCTTCCGTCCGAGGATTCACTCCCCAAGTGAGCCGGCAACGGTCGATGCTATGCCGATCCGAAGCCAGGAGCCTCTTCCGGGTCTCCCACGCGGGTGCAGGTTCCCAAAGCCTTGGGCCGTCCTCTGCTGCTTTCCCGGGCCACAGGCAGGGAGCTGGAAGGGAAGCGGGGCTGCCGGGATTAGAACCGGCGCCCATATGGGATCCTGGGCGTGCAAGGTGAGGACCTTAACCACTTGCGCCACCGCGCCGGGCCCAGGTGTTTCTTTTTAAAAAAGATTTATTTGAAAGGCAGTTACAGAGACCTTGCATCTGCTGGTTTGCTGCTAATGTTTTCATCAGCTGGGGCTGGGCTGAAGCCAGGAGCTGAGAGCTTCATCAGGATCTCCCATGCGGGGAAGGGGCCCGAGATGTTGGGCCGTTCTCTGCTACTTTTCCAGGCGCATTAGCAGGGAGCGGTGTGGGGTGCTGGCCATACAGGCACTGTTTAAGCTACTGTGTCACAGCACAGTGTAGTACATGCTGAGATTGCTCGGATTTGTAGCACTGATGTCCCATTTGGTGTCAGTTGATGTCCCAGCTGCTTGATTTCTTTCACTGCAGTTTGCTGCTTGTGGCCTGGGACACTGGCGGAGGATGGCTCATGTCCTTGGGACCCTGTATCTGCATGGGAAACCTAGATGAAACTCTGGTTCCTTGCTTCAGATCAGCTCAGCTGTGCCCGTTGGAACCGTTTGGGAAGCGAAGAGCCTCTGTCTTGTCTCCTCTCTGTAAATCTTTTGAACAAAAATAAGTATTTAAAAAGAAGTTTTAATTATTGATTTGCTTGTTTTCATATAGTAATTAAACGGAGATGCTTGCTTTGCTGTTCCTATTTGTGGTGTTGTTTCCTAGGCGGGAATCGCAAGTAGCTGTAGAACGGGAGAGTAGTCCTTCAGAGGTACAGCTTCTGCTAGTAAATGGTTACTTTGTTTTCTGTATTCTGATTTGATGAGAATGTTTATCTTTCAAAAGTTTAAAAATTTACTTGAAAGATTTACAGAGAATCTTCCATCCATTGCTTCATTACCCAAATGCACAGCACAGCCAGAGCTGAATTGTTGCCAAGCTGGGAGCTGGGAGATTCCTCTGATTCTCCAACACAGGTGCAGGGGCCCAAGGCTCTGGCCATCCTCCCGTGCTTCCCAGGGCACAGGCAGGGAGCTGGAAGGGAAGTGGAGCAGCCAGAATACGAACCAGCGCCAATGTGGGATCCTGAGGTGCTAGGCAAGGACTTTAGCCACTAGGCTATCACGTTGGGTCTTTTTTTATTTTAACCTCCTGTTAGTTCCCCTTTCCTCCTAGAAAAGCAAGCAAAAATGTTTTCCTAAGCCCGGTCCCTCCTTTTTCCTTTGACCCAGTGTCAGGCAGTGAACGAATCCGCCCAGCAACAAAGCCAGAGTGACTAATCACACTGGAATGAAGCCAAGGGCAAGGCAGCCAGCCGGTGACTGACCACTGCCGCCTGCAGGAACGGGTGAAGCACCGTGATGGCAGTGCCCCAGGGATGACTGAGACGGCAGGACGGCCGCAGGCTGTCCAGCTCAGTCTGAACCACGGTGTAAGGTGCATCCTTGTCACTGCAGTATTTCCTCACTAGGGTGAGTTTTCTGTAGCATAAGATGTTTTTTCAGGTAGGTGATTTTATTTCTGGGCAGAGCAGAGAAATCTGTCTGCCTTTATCGTGAGGGCTGCAGCAAAGCCTGGGAACCACCCTTCTCACACACGTGCTGCTCTGCAGGTTTGTGCCAGGCGTGACTTCAGCTGTCCTCCTTTGATGAAATGTGCCCACACAAGTTTAGTTTTTTTTTTTTTAACTACTATTGCAGTAAAATCTCAGTGACATGAAATTTATTAGTTTATCTTTTTGAAAATATATATTTGTTTCTTATTTGAAAAGTAGATTTACACAGTGAGAGGCAAAGGCAGAGATCTTCCCTCTGCTGGTTCACTCCCCAAACGGCTGCAGCAGCCAGAACTGAGCCGATTCGCAACAGGGAGCCAGGAACTTCCCCTGGGTCTCCCATGTGGTGCAAGGGCCCAAGCGCTTCGTCTATTGTCTGCCTTCCCAGGCTATGGCAGGAAATTGTATCAGAAGTGGAGCAGCTGGAACTCCTGTCAGGACCAGTTCTTGCAGGAGAGCACAAAAAACCAAGGCTGAGTGCAGCCCAGACCAGGTTAGGGTGTCCGCCGGCCTACATGTGGGTCAGGTCTGAGGGCAGGCCAGGCTGGGCCAGTTCATAACATTCAGTGGCAGATCTGAGAACCAGGATGGGGTGCAGGACAGGCCAGGTTTGGCCACAGCACCACCCAATTCAGTGTCAGGACTGGGGGCTTGCTGAGCTGGGTTAGAATGCAGCACCTAGCAGCATGAGCTAGAACAGGGGGCGGACTGGGCTGGGCCAGGCTACAGCACTTGCTGGCAAATGCTAAGATGAGGTGGGTCATGTCAGACTAGGCCACAGCACCTACCAGCACACATAAGACCCGGGATGAGGGTGGTATGAGCCTGGTAGAGGGGTTCAGGGGGCTCATACTGGGTCCCACCCTTTTGTTTCTAATCTAGCTTCCTAACTCAGAGGCAGCAGATGAATTCAAGTAAACTTGACACCTGCTATCCATATGGGAGACCCAAATGTTGTTCCTGGCTCCTGGCTTCCCCCTGGGCCATCACAGGCTGTTTTGGGCATTTGAGGAGTGAAACAGTAGGTGGAAGTTCTCTCTCCTTTTCTCTTTCATTGTGGCTCTACTTTTCAAATTAAAAAAATTTTTTTTAAAGAGGATCACTTCATGTATGTACATAACACCCTTTTAATTCCAGTGTCCATGAATTTTTTGAACTATGCATGAATATGAAATTGGGTGAAGGAGAAACTACTCAAATGACCAGATCATCAAACATTGTGGTCTGAGGGTGTTCTTTTTTTTTTTTTTTTTTTTTTTTTTTTTTAAAAAGGCAGGACCAATCTGTTCTACTTGGCTTAGATCTGTGAGGAGGGTTTTTTTTTTTTTTTTTTTTTTAAGATTTATTTTTATTATTTTTTTCATTGGAAAGGCGGATATACAGAGAGGAGAGACAGAGAGGAAGATCTTCCGTCCGATGATTCACTCCCCAAGTGAGCGCAACGG